AATCCCTGCTTAGTGCGCATCTACACCATGATAGGATACTTGAGCCCAAATTTCAGTTTCCTAGCTTTTACCGTTTGGGCTGTGGGGTGTTGATTGTGTTTCATATATATATATATATATATATATATATATATATATGTATATATAGAGTGGCAACCCTGTCGTTGAAATCGGTCGTGGTTATTTTGAGCTCTGTGATTAATCGTTTTTTAATTATAAACTGAACTTTTTTCCAAAGTACTACTTTGTCAAGTGTATACATATCTGTGACTGATTACCAGCGAATGCTTTACTTAATCGATTGCGGCTTACAAACGCTAAACATGTAAGTGCAGTGAACAAGTAACTTTTTGTTGTTACTTTTCAACAGTGCATTCACATTTCGGTGCGCCTATATACGAACAACAAAAACTAAATTTTTTCGTTACCAACTGTGCCCTTATTCTTGATGAAAAAATTCGACGTGTCAAAACTCTAAAATAGAGTCAAAACCTTTCCATTCCCGAATTTTTTGAATAAAATCTTCGTTTTAAATCACTAAAAACATTTTTGCTAATTACTTTGAGTGCGTGTGTTTGTGCTATTCCTATTGCCATTCAACAAACATTGTTTTTTTCATAGCATACGTTTAGGCTCTAACTAAAACGGACCATAATGTTTTCTTGCTGTTTTAAGTCCTGTGAGTTTGGCCATAAGCTTGGTTCAATGGACCCTACAGTGCAGTGCTGGTTGAGCGATGACGTTGGTCACGCGAAAATGTACCTTCTTGCTTAGCTGATGATGTTTTGGTTTCGAAATTCCAGTTTAAGTATAAGCGCGACATTTCGTCTTTCAAAATTTCTGTTCCTGAGAATTTATTTAATAAAATCATTGACCCTACTTTCTGGCCAAAACATGTAGTTGCTCGCGAATTTACCCGTAAACGCATTAATGCAAATAATAATTCTTCTTCCATAGCACCGTCTTCACCAAAAAACTAAATCATTCCTCTTCCCTGATATTTCATTATCAAAATGTACGGGGACTGCTTACTAAACATCAAAGGCTTTATTCAAACAGTACATCATTCGTTGTTATTTTATTAACTGAAACGTGGCTTAAACCCAAAGTATTAAACTCTGAAATATTTATTCAAAAATATTCTATTTTCAGACTTGACCGTATACACCGCAAAGGTGGTGGTGTTCTTATCGCTGTAGATTCTCTATTGTCGTCTGAATTTGTCTCGTTTGATAATCCGTTTTAAATCGAGTTTATATGTGTAAAACTTATATTTGCGCGTTTTTCTATATTTGTCACTTGTTCTTATATCCCACCTGCATCCAATAATGAAACTTACCTTCTTCACTGTTCTGCAATACAACGCATATCCAGTATGCTTAAAGATAGAGACTATTTGGTCGTTTTTAATGATTTTAACATACCTGATGTTTCGTGGTCAGTATTAGAAAATACAAATTTCCTAGCTCCTTCTTCTGCCTGTCAATTTTTAGATGGTATGCTTGATATACCTCTTTTTCAAGTTAATTCTGTGTTAAACTCGTCAATGAAAATTCTAGACCTTGTTTTCTTAAATGATGTGTCAAATATGGTTATAAATAGAACACTGCCTTTGTCCCTGCCCGAAGATCTTCACCATCCAACATTAGAGCTAGTGATTGATACTGAAATGTGCACAACCTTGCCTCAAAGCCAAAATACGCGGGTATGTTGCTTTAAAAAAGGTAATTTTATTAAACTGAATTGTATTTTAGCGCAGCTTGATTGGTCTCATTTATATGTGTGTAACGATATGGACTTAGCCATTAATATATTTTATGGAGCTCTTAACTCTGACTTGATGCTTGTATTCCTATTTGTACTCTACGGCCATCGCGTCGTGTGCCTTGGTTCACTAAAGAGCTTTCCAAATTAAAGAATGTTAAGTCCAGGTTATATAATCGTTTTTCAAAATCTGGGACCAACCCTGATTTTTTTTTAGTGTTGCCCGTTCTCAGTTTCTAATATTAAACAATCAATGTTATGCCGAGTACTTGACACGATGCAGACTTAACTTTTCTCAAGACCCAAAGCAATTTTATAGTTTTGTTAACTCAAAAAGAAATGCAAATGGGTTTCCTTCAATGTTGTTTTTTAAAGGACTTACTGCTAACACAGATGCTGGTATCGCTGACCTTTTTTCAACTTTTTTCCAAGATACATACACAACAAATTGTTTTTCCTCTTCCAACATTAACTTTTACGGCAATATTCATGAAGCTAACTACATATTCATGCCTGTTGCCGATGAACCTTCCATCTTGTCCGCGCTTCAAAATCTTAAGCAAAGTTTTGCACCCGGTCCAGATGGTATACCTAGCTGCGTCCTGAAATTCTGTGCTGATGCCCTTAGCAAACTACTTTATAGACTATTCTCCTTATCACTTGACAGATGCCGATTCCCCGATATGTGGAAAAGTTCTTACATCTTCCCTCTCCATAAAAAAGGACCGAAATCTGACATTGAAAATTACAGAGGGATTTCTAAACTCTCTGCTATCCCCAAACTTCTTGAGAAAATGATGACCTCTCAGTTACTGCACCATTGCAGGTCCATAATTTCCTCTTTTCAACATGGATTTATGAAACGCCGCTCTACCGCAACAAATCTCCTTGAATTCTCATCGTTCGGTTTGAATCGGTTTTTAGCTAAGAGCCAGACGGATGTTGTATACACTGACTTCAGCAAAGCTTTTGATTCTGTCAATCATGAGCTATTGATCCATAAGTTGGGTCTTTTGGGATTTCCCAAAAATCTTATCGTATGGATATATAGTTATTTGTTTGGCAGAACACGTGTAATTTGTAACGGCGTACTGTCAAAAGCTATTAAAGTAACTTCGGGGGTCCCACAGGGTAGTCATTTAGGTCCTCTACTGTTTACTCTTTTTATAAATGATCTGCCATCATCCCTAACTTACTCTCGTGTACTAATGTATGCCGACGACGTAAAACTCTGCCTCTCATATAACGATGTTCAGTTTCATGATAATTTGCAGCTTGATCTTAATGCCTTCCAATTGTGGTGTTCGCGGAATCTGTTGAACTTAAATTTTATTAATGTAAGCTAATGACGTTCCACCGATGCAAGCGTCATTTCATTTCATATTATTTAAATAACTCTGCCGTAGAACGAAACTTTACTGTTAACGACCTAGGTGTACTGTTTGATGCTAAACTTTGTTTTAATGATTACATCTCCACCAGTGTTAATAAAGCAAAGGGAACTCTAGGCTTTATTAAACGTTGGGCAAAGGAATTTGAAAACCCCTACACAACACTAATTTTGTATACGGCTTTGGTGCGGCCTACCTTAGAATATTGTTGTAACGTCTTGTGCCCGCAAAATGAAATACATAAAAATCGCATTGAATCTGTTCAAAAGCAATTTCTTTTGTTAGGTCTTCCATCACTTGCTAACCGCCGGATTTTATTAGGTGTTGTTTTTATACATAAATTAATTACCGGCGACTTCGAGTCTTCGGTGCTTGTTAGCCAAATTAACTTTACGGTACCACAAAGACCTTCAAGATTTTTTGTTCCCATAAGCCTAAATCGCTGTACAAGCAACTATGCTTTGCACAGTCCGTTTCGGGTTCTGTGTAGCAACTACAATAATTTGAGTCATCTCTTTGGCTATGAGAGTTCGTTTAGATCGATTAAATCTTGCTTACTTAATTTCCTGATCCGGTCTGAATCTCTTTAAATCGTTTGTAATTCTATTTAATTTAAATTTTTATTTTGTATGTTTTTTTTTTTTATCAATATTTGAATGTATATCTAGTTTGTTATTTCTTTTCTTTATGTTTAACATTGACAGTTATTTGTCAATTAAATAAATAAATAAATAAATAAAAAAATAATATTTAACAGTGCGAAATTGTTCGAATTAACAATGCTATTTATTTATAAATGTTTGGTTGCGATTCAAATAGTACAATATCAGTATTAAGCGACGAAAAACAAACTTATGTAAATGTTAATTGCCGATATGCAATTAAATTTATTAAACAATTGCCGAAGTGCAATGTTAATGTAAAAATTTGTCTATTAGACGGAAAACTAGGATTTGCCGTACCGACACAAGCGAACAACGAACGATGCGATTTGACAGTTGGTTAAGTATATATTAAAATAAACAAGTGACAAAATCTGTGGGTTATATGGGCGGTAGGAGTGGGCGTGGTCTGTCGGTCCAAAATTTAACACAGTTATTATACATGTCATTACAAGTATCAGTACCAAATTTTAAGTCTCATGTTGCGAATTTATGCCAAAAAATCGCCTGGCCCAATGTGCAGTGGTGGGGCTGCCACCTGTCGCCGCCTAGGAGAGGCGTCTTGGGGGGGTATAATGGATAAATGACTACGACGTTGAGGGCATGTATTTAGGAGAGTTTTTTCGAGAGGAGAAATTTTTAGGCCATGCTATCGCCATGAGTGGGGTTCGAACCCACGACGCTATTTTGAATGTTGTCGAAGAGAGGACTATCTGGTGTCAGTCCTCTTTCCATTTTCTCCAAATTCCTTTTTGATGCATTGCAAGTGTCTCCATTTATCGAGGGATCCAATTATTCGAAAAGAAATAAGAAAGAACGAACAGAAAAAGTTATGGCAGTAAGGTAACGTGCGCCGAGAGCAATGTTATGCAAGTCAGTTTAATATGGGCAACGTTACAATTGCGAATTTATGTACGAAATGAAAAAATAGGAACACCGCACCAACTGCGTGAACTATGTAACACATCTCCGACATCAGAAGTGGGATCGATCGTTAATTTACATATTTGTTCAAATTTCCTTTGTAAATTTCTACAAATATTGTACGCATAGGAACAGAATATTTAAAAGACGGATCACTTGACTAGTTTTTGTCTGAATGCTTGCATGAGTATTTATTAATATAATTTGTATAATATAATATTTATACTGTAATAAATCGAGATGTATTTATTATTTTCAGAATTGTGTAGACGGCTATCATAAACATCCAGAAGTCATGGTGACTTTTTCCTCACTTTTCAGTGGTGAACAAAATTGCAACCGCAATTATAGCAAAGTTGAATGTATCTTAGATGACTGTCTTGTTGATTTAGACATATCTATTTACGACAGATTAAGTGCACATTTTGCACCATCTCCGTTTTTAAAGGAATATAACTCGAAGTACTTAAAATTGGATAATTCTAAAAGCACCATAGAAGTGTATATTCAATCACCTTTCTTAAAACTACACTTAAGGTGAGTTTTTAATTTTATTATTATAGCTATATTCATTTGTTACCCAATGGGTAAAAGGGTATACTAGCTTTGTGCATATGTTTGTAACACACAGAAGGAGTCCTGAGAGACCCTCAAAAGATTCTCCTAAGTCCGGGAAGCTATAGCCATAAATTATCGCTGCCCATGCGCTGCCTGTAGCTCTTCCAGCAGCTGTTGTTGTTCCTGCTTTGGTTCAACTTTGTGCTGCATACATACACGCATATAAACACGCAAAGACACGATTCTATGTAAATGTAAACATGTCTCCACTTTTGTATATATGTATTGAATAATTTGTATTTAATTTAATTAAATAATTTAATTAATATAATTTTTTAAAATTAATAACTTTTTGGTGGTAGGTATAGGGTATTTAAGAGTTGAGCCTACTTTAGTATTCCTTTCTTGTTTTTGTTGTTGCTGTTTTGACGTTATTCTGTACAGCACATACACATCTGTCTCCACCTATGTAAATAAGTATGCATCTGTACCCAAAGGGTAAAAGGCTATGTTCACAGAAGTCTCTTCCGCCCAAGTTTCACCTCACAACTAATTCTCTGTGGCACAAAAAACGCTTTTGGGATGTTTCAAATCTTGTTTGCTTTGCTAGAAGTTTTGATTAAAAACACTAACAAAGACATTATTCCAAATAAAAATAATCATTGGAATATAAGCCTTATAGTTTTTCTGAACAATCTGCATCAAAAATATTTTGCATATCCCACGTAAATATTATTAAATTAGCAAATTCCTAAATGTATACTTGAAACACCGGCATCCACACACAGCATCCAAAACAACCGCACAATAGAGATGCCCCTTCGGCCCAAATAGATCATTACATTTTTCGAACATCACAATTTGTTGAGTTAGGTCTAAAGTTGTGAGTCAAACGAAAGTTAAAAATATATATTTGACGCAATTCTTGTTTCAAATAAGTACCACATAACTGTGTATTAGTTTAACAAACTGGGCAAAAATTGTGTGTCGCCGATTGGGCAAGTCAGTTAGCGAAAATGTGAATAAACTGCCATTTGAATATACAATACGGACCAGGGAAACAAAATGTAAGTACATTTTTGTAATTTCTGAATTAAATTTCAAATGCTGATTTTTGCAAAACTTAGATCGGAAGTACACCCTGTAATTGCGAAAGTAAATATATTATTGATCAGGATGACAAAATGAGTCGATATAGACATGCTTGTCTGCCTGGCCGTCCGTATCAACGACGTCCTGACGGACGGACTAATTGGCGATCAACGTACAGCCCAAACGGTAAGAGATAGGAACCTAAAAAATTTAACATAAGTTTTATGGTGTAGGTGAGCATTGAAAAGTGTTTTTTCGAAATTCGAACGCCAAAGGGGTGAAAATGGGCTCCAAAGATTGTGTGAAAAATCTGTAATTTTTATTTGACTGGCTTGAAGCAAAGTTTGTGTAATCTATGAAGGAATTCAAAAAACACTGCCTACTTGGGTTACCACCACTTTTCTTTGGGCTTGAAACATGGGGGTTAGTAGGTAGATGCGGCAGCCAGGGTGCAGAACCCTGCCTCACTTAGACCTTGAAAGTTGGCCCATTGTGATACCGCGTGGACTGGTCCACTTCCCGTTTTCCCGAGATGAGTTTTTGGTCAGTGATGGTATTAAACCTAGATATTTGGCTGAGCTGCTGAAGGATGGCGCTACCTTATTTAATAGTGGGGGACGAAGAAGTGGAATTTTATATTTCCTTGTGAATATCACCAGCTTTGTTTTGCTGGGGCTTACACTTAGACCACTTGACGTCGCCTAAGTTGACTATGTGCTTAATGCATCGTTCATGTGCTCACACAGGGAATTTACACGAAAAGGAGATGGTAACGTCATCTGCGTAGGCTACAGCTCTGCATCCTCCAATTCCCTCCAGGGAACGTAGAAGTGTGTTGACCGAATTAGTGATAGAGCTTGGGGACACGTTGTTGAAAGCGCCTTCTATATCTAGGAAGACATTGAGTGCATAGTGTTTGGTATTAAGTGATTTTTTAATACCCAAAGTAGGAGCGTGGAGTGCCTCTGCATACTTAGTTTTTTGAAAGTTTTCTTGGATTTTTAGGGTTATAATATTTACACTTTTTGTCAAATGAAAAGTTTATGTTATAAATTTCGTCCGATCGATTTCAAATTTTACAACTTGGCATTCAACGATTCCAAAGATCTCAAAATATAGAGTTAGGGTTTTCACTTCGCATATGGAGCAACTAACAAAATAAATATCAGTATCTGTTCCTGACACATCGCTGCACTGCGTTGACACGAGTCAGTGTTTCATATGCCGATTTCGTGCGTGGTAGTGATGACTCACAAAAAGACACGAAGATTAAGATGCGATAAAATCAAAAACCACACGACCAAAATGTAACTTAAAAGAAGAAAGAATGCTAAAGTCGAGCAAGCTCAACTCTTAAATACCCTGTACCTCCCACCAAAAAGGAAAAAATGAAAAAAAAATGTTTTTAATAATTTAAAAAATTTATTAATTAAAATATTTAATTAAATTAAATACATGTTCATGTACAGTTTCAACAGCATAAATTTACATCAGAATCGTGTCTCGGCGTGTTTATATTTATTTATTTATTTATAACCCTTATCCTAGCGTTACAAGTATTGGATTACTTTTAAATTATTACGCTAGTCATTACAAATTTAATTATATTGAGCTTATTATTATTAGGTTATTTTCTTAATATTAGTTTTATTTTTAACATTCAAAATTTTTATTAATCTTTATAATTATTATATATATTTTTAGGTTTGTATTACCAGTTATTTACTTAATCTATTTTGTCTACTAAACTAAGTGTGTTGTTAGTATTAAGTTTAAGGTAACTGAAAAATCGCTAGCTTTTTAGCGATTGCAACAAACAATATTGTAATTTAATGAGACGCGGTATTCTTTCGATTATTAGTACAGCTGTAATGGCTTGGATAATTGTACCAGCGAGGTTCACAGTGCCGATATTGCAAGATTTTGCAAGTGATTTGCCTGCTGCCGCTACAAGTCAGCGGGCCGGCAGAAGAAAAGGAATGCACAAAGAGAGCACAGTAAGGGGCGCGATAGAGAGCGCAACAGAGATACTTAAAAACTATACATGGTGCTCCAACATTCCGGCCCCGTTGAAAGACTAGCGGTCTTTCAAGTCCATTGGGAGCACCGCCAACTTGTGGACTTGTCGCCTAATAGTGCCGGTCCTGGTTAGTACGTCGGCCACCCGCACCACCCCACTTCTGTGGGGGGGGGGGGGGCGTTGTCGTCGTGGACGAGCACCACTGCTCCGTCGTCCAGGTTGGCCTCGCCTTTGGCCCACTGCGTCCGTTGCTGCAGGCTGAGCAGGTAGTCCTTGGACCACCTGCGCCAAAACTGCAGTTTGAGCTCCGACAGCTGCCGCCACCGCTTCAAAAATCCGGACCCGGCTCTGCTCAAAGACCCTTCTTGCACGCCTTCGTGCGGCAGAGTAAGAAGCGGCTGTCCGATGAGCAGGTGGCCCGGAGTGAGCACCTCTCCATCGTTGGGATCGCTGGCGCTTGCCACCATAGGCCTGGAGTTGAGAATCGCCTCCACGTCCACCAGGTGCGTTTCCAGGTCGTCTCTGGTCAGGTTCGCGTTGCCTGCGCCCCTGACTAGATGAGCCTTCGCCGCCTTCACCGCTGCCTCCCACAGTCCTCCGAAGTGGGGAGCCCTGGGAGGAATGAACCGCCAATCGATCCCTCGCTCTGCCGCTAAGTCCATCAAGGCGGCTTTGCTCCTCTCGAACGCCGACGTCAGCTCCTTCAGCACGCCGCTCGCTCCTACAAAGTTGGTCGCGTTGTCGCTGTAAACTGTCTCCGGCAGGCCGCGTCTCCCGATGAACCTTTTGAAAACATTAAGAAAAGCGTCAGTCGCTAGGTCTGTTACCAGCTCGAGGTGAACGGCCTTCGAGGCAAAACAAACACGGCGACGTAATTTTTAACGGGCGGTCTTCCTCGTATGCGGTAGCTTACATGGAAAGAACCGCAAAAATCGACCCCACAAACCCTAAACGGTCGACCTTCTCGAAGGCGATCACCTGGCAAATTTCTCATTATTTGCCCTAACAACTTGGGCTTGTATCGGAAGCAGTGTACACAATTACGTACAACTGCTGAGCAAGCACTACGAGCATTCACCACCCAGATCTGTTGCCTATGAAGCCCAATTAATACCTTTGCACCTGCATGATAGTGCTTCAGGTGCAAATGCCGAATATACAATGCTACTATTGGTGCATCTTTAGGCAGTAATAGTGGAAATTTTGCGTCATAAGGAATTGGACCATGCAACAAACGTCCACCTACTCGAACCAAACGAAACTTAATCCCATTGTCTTCGAACTCGTGTATAAAGGGATTAAGAGATTGCAAACTTGGGGGGGAGTGGCGCCGACTTTTGTAGAGACTTGATCTCACGGCTGTATATATCAGCTTGCAGCACTTCAATCAGCTTAAAAAACGATAATCTTCGTTCTAAAGCTGACACAACTGAAGAATCACTGCTGCTTTTCCTGTAGCAAAATCATAAAACATATGCCAATATTCGAAGTAGTTTAGGAAAGGATGAACGTCTCAACATAAGGTCTAGTATGCAATTTGACTCTACGTCTGATCGAATGACTGTAAGTACAGTCGCATTCTTTTTATCTTCAGATGCCTTAATGTCTGACGATAATTCAACATGGTGAAGATTGGGCCAATCATTTTCACCGAGCTTTAGAAAATAAGGGCCCTTAAACCACAGTGACGATACAATTTCGTCTATATCAGTTCCACGAGAAACTAGGTCAGCAGGGTTGCAGTCTGTAGGCACATGACGCCAAACAATATTCTCAGAAGCCTCTTGGATCTCAGCCACTCTATTTGCCACGAATGTGGATAACGTGGATGAGTCTCTCTCCAACCAATACAACACTATCTGAGAAT